TCGCCTCCTCCCGCCTGCCTTCCATCTTTGGGGACATGTATTTCCATTGTTAGAGCGGTCAGTCGACTATCTTGTCAATAGATCATCTTCGGTATAATGCAAAGCATCATGCCCCTAAACCCGAAGTCAGCCCGGCACAGGTAGATTTAAGTAAGAGTGAAAGTCACCCAGTAAAGTTCTACTTGAGGAAAAGTCTAAAAGTATCTGGTTTTACATATACTTATGTATCAGAAGTAAAAGGTAAAATATACTTAAGTATCACAAGTAAATGCTACAAATCATATATTAAGCAAACCAGATGGCACAATTTTCTTTTCTTTTATTTCCAGATAACCAGGGGCACACTCCAGCCCTCAGACATCATTTACCAACAAAGCGTTTGTGTTTAGTGTGCCTGCCAGATCAGAGGCAGTAGGGAGGACCACTTGTTCTCTTGATACGTGTGTGAATTGGACCATTTTCCTGTCCTTCTAATCATTCAAAATGTAACGAGTACTTTTGGGTGTCAGGAAAAAGTTCTGGGAGTAAAAAGTACATCTTTACTTTAGGAATGTAGTGGAGTAAATGTAAAAGCTGTCAAAAATATAAATAGTAAAGTAAAGTAGGGGAGAGCTGGGACGAAAGTAACACGCCCATTTTCTCAGATACTAGAATGAGGAAGTGAAATCAGCACGTTCCTAATGTGGAGGACGAGCTCCCTGCAAAAAAAACAGTTATCAACAAAAAGTGGTTTTGAGTGATGTAAGTAAAAAAACGGACCTGGAAGTATTTTTCGGTTGTAGTGTTGTGTTTAGTTTTTTAAGGTTCCAAACATGTCATTTTCTTAACCCATCTAGTGACTAAATGACATAATAGGTTTCAAGTATCATGCTAGCTAGTCTTGGGTGTTAGCCTGGGAGAAGTTACAGGAGAGATGGGTGGGACGAAAGTAACACAATGTAAACTGATGACCTGGAATAAAAAATAAAAACGTTTAAGCACAGGCCATTGTCTCCTCTAGTTCATATTGCTTTAATAATTTTAGCAAAATATCAACAAGTGACTGAATGTTTGAAAATTATATATGACATCATTAGAATTATCCCTTAATCAATTGACTTGATGGATCAGCTTCTCACATAAGCTTTTATCGACAGGTTAGTGGTTAAAAATACATATGTTTATGATTCTGGGAGTCAAGTTCCTTATGTCAAGCCATGGTAATGTGATGAGTTTGCCATTTCTGAAGAGAATAAAGACGTTTATTCCATCAAGACAAGAGGAGCGCGCATGACAAGGACAGCTGGAACGCACCTGATTGGTAGATCTAAGCATGAATAGTCAAAATATTGTGGATGCGCAACATTGCGATGTTGACGCATGGTTCATTTTTATAAATTTCGAACCTATAGCATTAATTATTCAAATCGACACAAACATGAAATTATGTCTGATAGTACATTTGTTGAAAGATAAGACAGATATTGTGCACTTCTCGCCAGCTGTTATGATGGCAGGTACAACAATAACGTTGCGGTAGTTCTGTTCTCTGTCTATTTAATTTCAACTCATTTACCCCTAGAAATTAAATTACAGTTGCTAATGTCATGGGCATTAATATGGAGTTTGTCCCCCCTTTGCTGCTATAACAGCCTCCACTCTTCTGGTAAGGCCTTCCAGTAGATGTTGGAACATTGCTGCAGGGACTTGCTTCCATTCAGCCACAAGAGCATTAGTGAGGTCGGGCACTGATGTTGGGCGATTAGGCCTGGCTCGCAGTCGGCATTCCAATTCATCCCAAAGGTGTTTGATGGGGTTGAGGTCAGGGCTCTGTGCAGGCCAGTCAAGTTCTTCCAAACCAATCTTGACAAACCATTTCTGTATGGACCTTGCTTTGTGCACAGGGACATTGTCATGCTGAAACAGGAAAGGGCCTTCCCCAAACTGTTGCCACAAAGTTGGAAGCACAGAATCGTCTAGAATGTCATTGTATGCTGTAGCGTTAAGATTTCCCTACACTGGAACTAGGGGGCATAGCCCGAACCATGAAAGACAGCCCCAGACCATTATTCCTCCTCCACCAAACTTTACAGTTGGCACTATGCATTCGGGCAGCTAGCGTTCTCCTGGCATCCACCAAACCCAGATACGTCCGTCAGACTGCCAGATGGTGAAGTGTGATTCATCACTCCAGAGAATGCTTTTCCACTGCTCCTGAGTCCAATGGTGGCTAGCTTTACATCACTCCAGCCGACGCTTGGCATTGTGCATGGTGATCTTAGGCTTGTGTGCGGTTTCCATGGCTGCTCAGCCATGGAAACCCATTTCATGAAGCTCCTGACAAATAGTTATTGTGCTGACATTGCTTCCAGAGGCAGTTTGGAACTCGGTAGTGAGTGTTGCAACCGAGGACAGATGATTTTTACGCACTACGCACTTCGGCAGTCCCGTTCTGTGAGCTTGTGTGGCCTACCACTTCGCGGCTGAGCCTTGTTGCTCCTAGATGTTTCTACTTCACAATAACAGCACTTACAGTTGACCAGGGCAGCACTAGCAGGGCAGAAATGTGACAAAATGACTTGATGGAAAGGTGGCATCCTATGACAGTGCCATGTTGAAAGAAACTGAGCTCTTCAGTAAGGCCATTCTACTGCCAATGTTTGTCTATGGAGATTGCATGGCTGTGTGCTCGATTTTATACACCTGCCAGCAACGGGTTTGGCTGAAATAGCAGAATCCACTAATTTGAAGGGGTGTCCACATACTTTAGTGTATAAGTTGTTTGTCATAAAATATGGTGTCTCTAGCTCCATTGATCTCTGAGTAATTAGGGGAAAAACGTAAGTGTTTTCCCCTACAGATACCCCAAAAAACCTACTTCAAAGTTGTTTTACTTAAAAAATATATAAATGCAACATGCAACAATTTCAAAGATTTTACTGAGATACAGTTCATATAAGGAAATCAGTCAATTAAAATAAATTAATTGGGCCCTAATCCATGGATTTCACATGACTGGGAATAGAGAAATTAACATTCAGTATGCCAATTGCACGCTCCCTCAAAACTTGAGACATCTGTGGCATTGTGTTGTGTGACAAAACTGCACATTTTAGAGTGGCCTTTTATTGTCCCCAGCACAGGGTGCACCTGTGTAATGATCATGCTGTTTGATCAGCTTCTTGATATGCCACACCTGTCAGGTGGATGGATTATCTTGGCAAAGGAGAAATGCTCACTAACAGGGTTGTAAACAAATTTGTGCAAAACATTTGAGATAAATACGCTTGTTGTGTGTATGGAAAATTTCTGGGATCTTTTATTTCAGCTCATGAAACATGGGGGCAACACTTTACATGTTGCGTTTATATTTTTGTTCAGTGTAGTTACTTTACACCACTGATGTCGGGTCAATCGGAAATGACGTGTACATTTCTAGTGCGAAATATTTAAGCCCTTGGTCGAGTAACGTCCGGGAACCGCTATTGTTTACCTCTCATGATCATAAAATAGCCAGTAGACATTTTTAGTTCACATTTTTTAATAACATGGCACAATTTACATAACACAAGTTTAAATGTGGAGCATGCTGAAGATTCAGTCGCTTTTTTTATTTTTATTTTTAACTTGATTCTAGAAATACTTTTTTTTTTACGTACATGATTAACAGCAAAAAACGTTTTTATTGTTAACAATCTCTCTGCAATACGCATTGACTAACCACTACGGCTCCAGTGGACATTTTTAATGTGGGGTTAAAAAAAACACTGCACAACATCTGGCTCTCACAGAGTTTTGAAGCGCACAACTAAACCTTCAGTGGACTACTAAAATAGATCTCTGCTCATTAGAAACAAACTATCAATAGTTTAGACTGGCTTTTTTGTCTTTTTAATTTTTGTAGATACAACAACTTAGGATAGCACTTTAATACACCATTAGATCAACATAACTTATTTCCAAACACATACTTTACACTCCTTTAGAAGGGATAATGTGGTGTATTTTTGTAAATGTGCTGTATTCTCTCCAAAACAAGACTAGTAGTGGGAGTTGAGTTGTTGGAGTAACTGATAGGTACGTGATCTCGCTCACTTTAAACTATCTGTTAGGCGACTTCAGGCATTGGAATTCCTCTGAAAATAAAATAGCTTTATAATAGACATTTTAAGGATTGTCACCACAACGTTGTATAATTTTTAAGAAAATTGTTTTATATTTGCACAACCGTATACCGTTCTACGTTATAGTGTTTTTCTACGAGCACTATGAATTTCATTTCAGTGATACATACATTATTATGGGTTTGTGAGATCTTGGTTGTGGAGAGAATACAGTGTTGTCAGAGTTAGTTGGGGTGGTGACCAGGCTGGCTTTCAGAGTGGAAGCCCAGACATTTGTTGCATAGTTGAATGGGGGGTATGGAGGTCTCTGGTACAATGCTTTTTCCGCTGCGTCAAGCAAAAACCAATCTGCAAAAAGCACATTCTACACTTCCTCCTTCTTAATAATAGTCCTCTATTTACATTTGTTCAAAGTAAAGCTTTCAAAACACCCTTTTGCATATTTGTACCTTGATTTGTTACTTAAGGAGTGAGCATGTTGACTGTACACATATCTACATACTTTGCTGTCTGTCAATGCATTGAAGTACCTGTACGTTCTAAAACGTCTTTGTGAGGGTTCCGTTTCTATTGACCTACACACCTTCAGGGTAGTCCAGGCCGCTTTCTAAACAAGAGAAGAATACACACAAAAAGCAGGAGCAAACTGGAAAAAGAGTTGAGTAAAATCTCATTTTCTATTCCATCATTTATCCCCCTTTTTTTTCTCCTTTATTTTTTTTACAAAAACATCATCTGTGGGTGTTTTTTAACCACATATTATTCACAGCTATGGTACAGTCTGGTTTTCCCAAAGCTAAGTGCTTGGTGTGAGTTCAGTGTTAGTAATTCTGTCAGACACAGGGCATGGGGCAGAGTCTGCCTGTAGTCCAGGGTGAGGTTTGCACCCCGCTCTGCTCACCGTGCCTCTATGTCTTTGTGGTTGTGGGCTGACGGTCTGTCTCTGATGTCTGTGGTGAGGGGCATAGTCCGTCTGGGGGAGCCCGGCCTGGCACTCAGCGTGGGGATGAGGGGGGGCGGGGCGCTCAGGGAGGCCGTGGGTGGTGTTTTGTTCAGGATACCGTTCTGGTGGGCTGCGGCTGCGGCAGCGTGGGCGGCGTATGCTGCAGCGGCGGCCGAGGGGCTGACCCTGGAGTAGTGCATGCTGGGTAATCCGGGGGCCATGAGGCCGGGGTGGGGGTGTGGCAGGTGGCCTTCCAGGGCCGGGTGGTGCATGGCAACGTGCAGGCGGCCGTGCTCGTAGTCCTCTCTGAGCATGTGCAGGCGCTCGCGCTCCTCCAGGTGGGCCCGGGCCTCCTGCTCCCGGCGCTGCTCCAGGGCTAGAGGGTGGTGGTGGTCGCGGTTAAAGTCATGAGCCTCTCGTTCCCTGTAGGAGCGTTCTGCCTCATAGAGGCGCTGCCCGGCCAGCCGGTGCAGGGGGTCATTCCTCAGCAGCAGTTCCCTAGTCAGAGGGTCCCGTCTGTGGATATCCAGGCCCCTGTATGGGTCCCTCATGGGGTCCCAGTGGAAGGCTGGGTAGGGGAACCTCTCTGCCCCTGGGATGGGGCTAATGCCCATGAAGGGGGCTACCATTCGAGTCCTCTCCAGGCCGCTGATGCTGTTCATGGGGTGGATGCCCGCCATGCCCATGGGCATCGCCATGGAGGAGGGGGGGTGGGGGTGGGTGTGGAAGCTGGGCGTGGGGGGAACCTGGGGTGGGTGTGGGTGGAGGTGAGGGTGTGGGTGAGAGGGGGGTCTGTCCCTGTCCGTAGGGCTGTCTTGCTCCTCTTTCCTTTCCTCCTTTACCTTCACCTCGTTGTTGTTCTTCTTCTTGTGGTGCTCGTAGGGAGAGGGCAACTCTCCCTTCTTCTCCATCAGGGCCTCCCTCTCCCCCCTCCCCAGGCCCCCGTTGGGCCGGTCCAGGCTGGTCTGGCGGATGTAGGGTGAGGTCGTCCCTCTGCCGTTGGCCTTATCCTCAGACACCCGCCCGTCGATGATGATTGGCGTTGTGTCCTTGTCGCCGTGGTGATTCTCTTTGAGCTTGTGCTCGTCTGTGCCATTGTCCTTCCAGGAGTTTGGGTGCTCCCTGTCCCTGTCTCGGTCTTTGGGCTTGTCCTTATCCCTGAGCGGTTCGCTGGGGTGCAGGTGGTTCCTGGGGGGCTCTGGGGGACGGCTGTGACCCAACAGGCTGATGGGGTTGATGGGGACCGGGGACGGATGGGTCTGGTGACGCTTCTCCATGGCTTCCCTGGATGGACACACACAACAATGGGCTTTAAAGTCCAATTTAAATTTGTATCACTATTTCAGTGTTTGTCAGTTGTATAACTTTAGGGTACATTCAGAGTTTGTCACTTCATAACACCCACCTCTCCTTGTCGTCCTTGTTGACGGAGGATGTGTCTCGCTTGTCTGAGTCTCGGTCTCTCTCGTGGGAGCTGACTGAGGCACTCCTCTCCGAGTCGCCAGGTTTGAGCCAGGGTGGAGGGGTGGGGAAGGAGGGCGGTGTGCGGTGCAGCCGGTTCCATGGCTCGTGGTTGTTGCTGAAGTGCTGCTGTGCATTGGGGTTGTCTTTATGGCCAAACACAGAGTTGGGCGCTGTTAGGGATTCAACACATGGAAAGAAGAAAATACCAAAACGCAAGTTAAAAGGCATATCTCCCCGGTGTGGCGGTCGGTCAACTCTAACGTTAGAATTCCATGAATACCCCATGCAACATTCATTTTCATAATCTAAGAGGAAATCAAAATGTTTGGTTGTCAAATACACATATACATAGTTGTCATGGAGATGAAACTCACTTAGTGCTGGGTTTCCAAGCCCACCGAAGGCTGCAGTGCTGAGAGAGGCGAGTCCTCCAAACGAAGGAGACCTACTGAATGGCTCTGAGTGAGTGAGTGAGTGAGTGAGTGAGTGAGAGTGAGAGAGAGAGAGAGAGAGAGAGAGAGAGAGAGAGAGAGAGAGAGAGCAAACACACAGTCAGCACCCTCTCTACATTGCTCCTTTACTGGGTCAACCAGCTTCTGACACAGACATACTGTACTTGTCAGTGCTCCATACACCCTCAAGATCAGTTGAAATGCTACTTTTTTTATGTTTGTATCTCTTTAAATCAAGTTTGACTTGACTAGGTGCACTGTGTGTGCTGCCTCTTACCTAAGTGAGGTGCAGGGGTGAGGAAGTTGCCAGGGTGGTGGGACGGGTGGCCGAACGGGCCGGCTGACGGGTGTGTAGAACCTGACATGGGAAAGAGAAAGAGTTGATGTAAGACATCTTCATTATATAAAAAAGAAATGTGTAATGTAGCTCAAATATTTTATTGTAGCATCATAGCTTCCCTAATGATTTTGAACTGAGATACAATATAGTAAAGATAAGCAGGATGCGTCCCTTTTTAGAGGCAAGAGCATTGATCTCTGCCTCCATGTTAAAAATGGACCTCTCTATGGGGCAAGTGGGATTGATCTAGCTCTGTGTGGAGAGGAGGTCCTGGAGATATTGTGTCAATCATAGAAATAGAATGACCCATGAGTGTTCCAGTCAAATTGTCCTGGTCTGAAGGGCTTTGTCCCTTCTGGTAATCCAATTTCTATGGTGACAATCTACCTCTACCCAGGACACTAACCAACCCGCACTCACCTGCTGCTGAGAAGAGCGTGGCGGGACGTGCTAAGTCGTGGGGGTGGTGCATCGTGCCAAAGAGGCTGGGGCCGGGGGGTCGACTCAGGAACTCCGGCTTGAGTCCAAAGTCCAGCTTGTGTGGGTCGACCTGCATCTGCTGCTAGAAGACGCCAGACAGGGAGAAACAGCACATGAAAAACCCATCGCCAACACAGCAGCAGCATGCATACAGACTGTAGAAGGGGTTCACTTTTGTTGGTTATCTGAGAGCTAAGGCATGAAGCTGTTCGCAGTGAGTAAAGTAACATTTCCTATACTTTCATTGCATTTCTGCAAAAGGTGGGTTAACGCTCATGCAAATAAAAAGGTGTGTAAACGGCATTTACCCCCCAGTACACCACTGAAGGTACCACAAGATGGCAGTCCTCTTATAATAATCTCTCTCTCAATACTGTCTCTCTCCAGGAGGGAAGCTGGATTATACTACTAATTTAACTAGCTTGGGGCTTAGATGATAAAACATTGGGGTTTAGAGAACCACACTATAATGAAGCACAACAGACAATGTTTCTCTACAGTCTGTGAGTGTAAGGAAGTGCAAAGGTTTAGGTCTCACCTTGACTTTCTGCTGGTGGTGGTAGATCTGCCAAGCCATATGGACATGCATGGCACACCACTTCCCCGGTTTCTTGACAAATGCAAAAGAAGACGATATGGTTAACCTCAAAGGCAGGATTCTCAAGGACTGTGTACACATTATGGGACGTTTCTTTTTAGTTTTCTTTTAGGGGAGAGAGAACTAAAGCATTCTTACCCTGAGAATGGGCCGAAATGGATCCGTTAGCTAGAGGAGAGAGAGAGAGAGCGAGAGAGCGAGAGAGAGAGAAGAGAGAGAGAGAGAGAGAGAGAGAGAGAGCGAGCGAGCGAGAGAGAGAAGGGTAGGGATTGAGAGAGGGAGAGATGGCTCAGTTACTTTCATGTCTCTCAGGCGTTCCTAATTAGCAACTTGCAGTGTGGCTCATGCTAGGGTGCTTACACCTGGTGTCCGTCTGTAAGAGTGTGTGACTGCTCCAGTCTTGAGGCCACTCCAGTCTGTGAAGGCAGACATAGAGGCTATTGGGAGGAGGTATGGACCAGTCTCATTTATTGAGAGTTACCATTTGTTTGTCTTTAGCAGACCTCTATCCAGAACTTACATGAGCATGAGGGTAGTCCTTGCTAGGGCACAGACAGAGCGTTCACCTAGTCGCCGGGAGTAGAACCAGCACCTTCAGTTACTGGCACACCTCTTACACTAAGTCTTTAGTGTGTACATGCACAGTCCAGTCCCTATTCTGATAAAGTATGTTTAGCTGTGTGTTGGTCTTCAGAGAGCACCCTCTACAATGAAGATGTGTTTGTCATGTTCACTCCCTGTGTGTGTGTTTGTGTATGTATGTATGTATGTATGTATGTATGTGTGTGTGGTGTTGGCCTGTGGCCCCTACCTTGGGCTGGAAGGCCCCCTGCAGCGAGCCGAATGGCCCGGTCGGAGGGATCACCGGAGGAATGCCGGACACGCCCGGGGGGTAGGAGTGGAACAGCTGAGAAAAGAAGAGAGGGAACAGAGAGAGGAGTGAGGATGGGTGTGGTGTTGTGTTGTGTTGTTCAGGGGACAGCAGCTGTATGAACACTGAGATTAAGGAGAGTGGGGCCATGATGACATGACAGGGTACAGGGAACAACATGACAGACATGATGATGTCACAACAAACCCACCATCACTAGGGATCAACATCCAGACCGCTGTCGGTCAGGTAGCTACAACTCACTGTCCTTAGTACCTCAAAGAGTTAAACAAAACTAAAACAGTCACACTTTGCTACTGAAATCACCAGGGATTTACTAAGCATTAACATGGAAATTACACAGTAATAGCCTATGAATTACTTGTTAGCCACTAAAACAAATCAACAGTTATTAGCTAGTCTTAGCTAGTGTTGAGAGTAAAACTGAACTCTCTCAGCAGAAAGAATCCTACTACACAATCACAATGGGTGTCTGTCTGTTGAGGCTTACATAATACACTTCCACATTACTGAACTCATTTTAAATAGGGGTTACCCCTCCTAACGGTGGTGATAGCAGTGAGATGAATTAAGACCAAACTCTGACTAACATGTAATTGCTACTCTGATTCACAACATGCACAACAGTTGAATGCCTCTGAATAGTAGAGCAGTAATTGAAGGCAGAGGTCAAGTGTGGTGGAGACAAAGGCATTTAGCGGCATACACACACACACACCATACACACACACCATACACACACATACACACACACACACACACACACACACACACACACACCATACACACACACCATACACACACACCATACACACACACACCACACACTTGGTACAGCCATTGAACTCAATTGAGAATTGGTTCTATTCAGTTGAGTAGGAAGGGGGTTGCAATGATTCAGCCAGGTTCCATTGTGTGAATGGTACAGTAGTGAATGAATGAGCAAGCAGACAGTTGTGTTAGCAGACAGACACGTTGTGATGGGTAAGACAAAAATGTATTCTCTCAGAGCAGAAGCAGAGGTGGAGGCATGGAAGCTACTGTACAAATACACACAGAACTACAACATGATATAGCATGAGTAGATGGATGGAGAGGCACATACTGAATGCACAAACTGCCCCACAAACACATAGAGAAACTCACGCTGTGTCTGTAGAAGGGGTCAACTTTTGTTGGGAATTTTTCAAACTGTAGAAGGAAGGAAATAAACAGAACTAAGAACAAGGAAAGAATATTGCAGCAGTTAAAGAGAAGCAACTGTAAATGATCTACATGTCAGACTGGGCTGTTTAGTGAATCAAGAAGACAGAGGAGCCATTTGACCACATCGTCATCCTCAGCCTTAAGAGTACTTTCCCTGTCTCTCGCTCTCCCATTTCGTGAGCGACTGAAGAGCTCATAAACTATGCAGCTCTGTGTAGCCCTGTGTCTCATTTGGGGAGGTTTTAGTGGTTTAATGTGGACCTAGGGAAAACATTTCCCCAGTCAAGTATAAACACTGCGGCCGTAAAAACACTTTAACGTCCTCATTAGCTGTCAGAGCGCTAGCCAATCTGCCTTTGAGGAATATCTTCAGAGCAACGTACTGCGGTTACAGTAGGGGGGTGTGGTCTTATATTATTCTATCCTCGTGGGGACATTTCCCACGTCCCCATGAGGACAAAGGCTATTTTAAGCTTAGGGGTTAAGGTTAGGGTAAGGTTTAGAGAAAATAGGATTTTGAATGGAAATACATTTTAGGTCCCCACGAGAATAGAAAAACAAGTGTGTGTGTCCGTTGTCTGGGACCATGGGTGTGTCTGTGTATGTGTTAGAGAGAGGGCTGGCGAGCAGGCCTGTTTCAGAGGGACAGCCACACAGTGCCTGTGGCCCCAGACAAACAGCGGGGCTCCAAACCCAAAGCATTCTCCTATAATGAAAACTCCACTAACTACAGTACATGATGTCATTTAAGACAGAATGATTAAATTGGTATTATGTTCTCAAAGCTGGCCCAGAATTAAACAACTCTGCCTCAGGGGCAGTTATTGCCAATTTAGAAATAGCTGCATTCAAGTTTGGGGTGCCCGAAATAAGCCAGAGAAAACACTAGAAAGAGTTTTTGGGAGAAGAAAGGCATCATTGTGGTAAAGAATGGAGAAACACATGGTCATCATTAGAAGGCACGCCACAAAAAAAAAACGATTTCCCTCCAGCAAGACTGGGGCTACCTTATAGTACCAGTACTGTATTAAAACACTCGTGTTCAAAAACACTATCCTTTCCACCCCATTGCTCCCGAGTGCTAGAGGCGTCACTACAGACCCTGGTTTGATTCCAGGCTGTATCACAACCGGCCGTGATTGGGAGTCCCATAGGGCGGCGCACAATTGGCCCAGCGTCGTCCAGGTTTAGACGGGGTAGGCCGTCATTGTAAATAAGAATTTGTTCTTAACTGACTTGCCTAGTTAAATAAAAAAAATGGTTAATGCATATACACCAAGCACTGAGGTTTTTACTGTAAATGCTCAGTAAAATAAAACATCATTACATTTTACATATTTAGCAGACGCTCTTATCCAGAATGACTTACATGAGCAATTAGGGTTAAGTGCCTTGCTCAAGGGCACAGACAGATATTTCACCTAGTCGGCTCGGGGATTAGAACCAGCGACCTTTCGATTACTGGCACAATGCTCTTAACCACTAAGCTACCTGATAACATTGTTATCATTACCCACCCCCCTCACCCACCAGTCCACCCCAACCCTCTCCTCCCACCCCGGAGTGGTGTTCTACTTATCCTCACATTTCTGGCTGGGGTACGCACCATGGGGGGTGCAGGGGTTGGCATGATGGCGTGGGAGAATGGGGTGAAGGTGTGCTGGTGGGTGTGCTGGTGGGTGTGCTGGTGCTGATGCTGGTGCTGGTGTTGGTGGAGCTCGGTGCGCAGGTATGGGGGCGGGCCCAGGGAGGCCCCGCGGTCGGCGCTCTGCGAGGCGAGGAAACGGTTGTTGAGCTCCTGGCGCAGCAGGTCTTGTTCTGGAGAAGAGAGAAATGAGAGGGAGAGAAGAGGAAAGAAGAGACTCATGGTCAGGACCTGTATCTGTTTGTCTGTGCTGGATCTGTTCTATAACAGCTAAGGAGAAGAAGAGTAAGAATACTCATGATAGTGAAAGTGTCTGTGCTTTCAAATTTCAATCAAATGTATTTATAAAGCACTTTTTACATCAGCAGATGTCACAAAGTGCTATACAGAATCCCAGCCTAAAACCCCAAACAGCAAGCAATGGAGATGTAGAAGCACGTTGGCTAGGAAAAACTCCCTAGAAAGGCAGGATCTGTTTTAAGTGAGAGTAACAATATCCATGGAGGTACAGTACAACCATTACAGAGGATCTATAGTCTTAGGCACGTGTCACATTAAAACCACGATAGAGAATCAGGATGTTCAGGATGTATTCTCTTTACTATGGGAGTCACACAGGACATCCCTGAATGGCGCCTGCTGCTTGAAGAGCCAGCACCTTTATTGCAATTATATGAAAACCTCTAACCCCATTTTAGACCAGAGGTGTTGATTAACTGACTGGCTCACAACAGGTTAGGGAGAAATAGATTAATGCATTTGACATGCTTTCATAAAAATGATTCTGTATTGACTGAATTGATTTCGGTGAGATTAACACATTTCCTTGTGAAAGTGAGAATTGCTCATAGCGATAGCGTTACTAAATCATGATCACATTCGATCACAGTTTGGCACGACAGGAGAGGGCATAATCACTTTCATCACATGGCCTGATTGGAAAAATAGTGTGTGTTGTTTGAGTAATCAATCAATCAATCAATCAATTAATCAAACACAACAGAATATAGACAGAGGGAAGGACAGGACACCTGTCTGCATCTACTGCACTATTATAGACAAACAGATGGCACAGAGTGCAGCTAACGTGTGCAATCCTGAGCCGTCAGTCTCTGTCTCCTATAAATTAGCACCAAGGTAACATTATGTCCGTCTCTCTCTCGCTCCCGGTCACAGTTTAATACGTATTGTGCTACATAAGGACCTCTCATGCCACAAATGACCTGGTTTCTGCTACAAAAGCCATGAGAATTTACAGCTTTGCTCTGTGTCTTGTGCCAGCTGTTGTTGTGGTGCAGTTCTCCTGCCTGTCCACGTGGGGGCAGCCTGGTACATGTGCCTACCTGAGTAGGGTGTCCCAGCGGCAGGGTGTCCTCCGGGGACCGGCAGGGTGCTAGACGTCAGTGGCGGAGGTGGGGGCAAGACCGCTGGAGGCGCAAACATATTGGGGTGGTGGGGGTGTGGCGAGGACTGCAGGGTGGGGGGGAAGCCGTGGGGAGCAATCTGATTGGCTGGGAGGGGCAGGGGGAAGGCGGTGGCTGCTGCTGCAGCGACGGAGCCGGATGGCAAGTGGTGAGGTAGGTGTGGGGACGGACCAGAGGGGCCGTGGGGCTTGGTACCGCCCGGGGTACTGCTCTGACTGCTGCTAGAGAGAGGGAAGGACAGAGAGTTATTTATTTTTTTATAACACTTCCACATAAGTCAACTCTTCCCCATATATATAGTAAATACGAAGCTCTAACAGACAGAAAGGTTTCGCATCTCATTTTCCTCAAGATACTCTTCACTGAATCTCAGGATGTATTAAAACACTACCTTCAAAACACTCTCAATTAAGCAATAAGGCCCGAGGGGGTGTGGTATATGGCAAATATACCACGGCTAATGGCTGTTCTTAGGCATGACGCAACGCAGATTTCATGGACACAGCTCTTAGCCATGGTTTATTGGCCATATACAGTGGGGGGAAAAAGTATTTAGTCAGCCACCAATTGTGCAAGTTCTCCCACTTAAAAAGATGAGAGAGGCCTGTAATTTTCATCATAGGTACACGTCAACTATGACAGACAAATTGAGGAAAAAAAATCCAGAAAATCACATTGTAGGATTTGTAATGAATTTATTTGCAAATTATGGTGGAAAATAAATATTTGGTCACCTACAAACAAGCAAGATTTCTGGCTCTCACAGACCTGTAACTTCTTCTTTAAGAGGCTCCTCTGTCCTCCACTCGTTACCTATATTAATGGCACCTGTTTGAACTTGTTATCAGTATAAAAGACACCTGTCCACAACCTCAAACAGTCACACTCCAAACTCCACTATGGCCAAGACCAAAGAGCTGTCAAAGGACTCCAGAAACAAAATTGTAGACCTGCACCAAGCTGGGAAGACTGAATCTGCAATAGGTAAGCAGCTTGGTTTGAAGAAATCAACTGTGGGAGCAATTATTAGGAAATGGAAGACATACAAGACCACTGATAATCTCCCTCGATCTGGGGCTCCACGCAAGATCTCACCCCGTGGGGTCAAAATGATCACAAGAACGGTGAGCAAAAATCCCAGAACCACACGGGGGGACCTAGTGAATGACCTGCAGAGAGCTGGGACCAAAGTAACAAAGCCTACCATCAGTAACACACTACGCCGCCAGGGACTCAAATCCTGCAGTGCCAGACGTGTCCCCCTGCTTAAGCCAGTACATGTCCAGGCCCGTCTGAAGTTTGCTAGAGTGCATTTGGATGATCCAGAAGAGGATTGGGAGAATGTCATATGGTCAGATGAAACCAAAATAGAACTTTTTGGTAAAAACTCAACTCGTCGTGTTTGGAGGACAAAGAATGCTGAGTTGCATCCAAAGAACACCATACCTACTGTGAAGCATGGGGTGGAAACATCATGCTTTGGGGCTGTTTTTCTGCAAAGGGACCAGGACGACTGATCCGTGTAAAGGAAAGAATGAATGGGGCCATGTATCGTGAGATTTTGAGTGAAAACCTCCTTCCATCAGCAAGGGCATTGAAGATGAAACGTGGCTGGGTCTTTCAGCATGACAATGATCCCAAACACACCGCCCGGGCAACGAAGGAGTGGCTTCGTAAGAAGCATTTCAAGGTCCTGGAGTGGCCTAGCCAGTCTCCAGATCTCAACCCCATAGAAAATCTTTGGAGGGAGTTGAAAGTCTGTGTTGCCCAGCGACAGCCCCAAAACATCACTGCTCTAGAGGAGATCTGCATGGAGGAATGGGCCAAAATACCAGCAACAGTGTGTGAAAACCTTGTGAAGACTTACAGAAAACGTTTGACCTGTGTCATTGCCAACAAAGGGTATATAACAAAGTATTGGAGAAACTTTTGTTATTGACCAAATACTTATTTTCCACCATAATTTGCAAATAAATTCATAAAAAATCCTACAATGTGATTTTCTGGATTTTGTTTTCTCATTTTGTCTGTCATAGTTGACGTGTACCTATGATGAAAATTACAGGCCTCTCTCATCTTTTTAAGTGGGTGAACTTGCACAATTGGTGGATGACTAAATACTTTTTTCCCCCACTGTATCACAAACCCCCGAGGTGACTTATTGATATTATAAACTGGTTACCAACGTAATTAGAACAGTTAAAATAAATGTTTTGTCGTACCCATAGTTTAGGGTCTGATATACCACGGCTGTCAGCCAATCAGCATTCAGGGCTCAAACCACCCAGTTTATAAGTGCAAATAACCACCACTGGCAAACATTATAGAACAGCATCTGTGTTTGAACACTTCTCTAGTTAAAGGGATACTTCGGGATTTTGGCAATGAGGTCCTTTATCTACTTCCCCAGAGCCAGATGAACTAGTGTAGACCGTTTTTATGTCTCTGTGTCCAGTATGAAGGAAGTTAGCGGTAGTTTCGCGAGCCAATCCTACTAGCGTTGGTGCAATGAAGACTGGAAGTCTATGGGTATCTGCTCGCATGCTAGTAGATAGAGCAATGACTGGAAGTCTATGGGTAACACTAGTTATCATTATCAAACTACTGCTAACTTCCTTCATACTGGACACAGAGACATACAAATGGTATCCACAAGTTCATTTGACTCTGGGGAAGTAGATAAAGAACCTCATTGCCAAAATCCTGAAGTATCCCTTTAAGCAGCTCCAGAGGTACATGCATAAAAAAGGACAGAGAAAGGAGGAGACCAGGCAGAGACTTTTGTTGTGTGTGGGTTTCTCCCTCCGAGACTCAGAGCCATGTAGCAGTATCTTAACAAGCTAAGCCCAAAAGCTCATTTGCAGCTGCCGCCTGTCTCTGTAACCACCCTGTGATTATTCACAGCGGCTGCCAGACCTGTTGGCACACTGACTAGCACACTGGCACACTGGTAGAGGGAGCCAGACACAGAGCCAGCTCCTCCCTGAGCGGGAGAGCCTTCGCTGGGACTGGGGCTGACTGGAGCTCTGGGGGGGCTATCCTGGAGCTCTGAATTAATGCACAGTATTCTAACATACATGGCTCACTGCTGCTTGACTATGGTTGGTGGAACAGCTAGCTGACCCATAGAGATGGGTAAAGAGCTGTGACTGGTAGGTAGAGAGCTGCAGGCTACTAGCAGCAGATGACAATGTGGGTGGTTAATAAATCCAAGCACTTATCGCTCAGCTGGAGTGGCAGTGGTTTAACCACCCTAGTGAGAGTCAGTGATGTGGTTTGGCTGGAGGGTTTCAGCGCAATACTAATTCAAGGTTTGATCTTGCCAATCATTTACATGCTGACATAAGATCAGAGTCTCAAAGGGTCTTCTTTTTGCATTACACAATATCAAAACAGCACACAAACAAAAGAGAACATAAATTCACTAGAAAATAAACAGACAGAAACAGGCCTACAGTATCTTGGTGTAAATAGACTTGGGACTCACCTGAGGCCGTTGAGGCTAAGGCTGTTGCTGTAGGCAGACAGGGGGCGAGGGTGTGGCCCACAGCGTGAGGGGGATCGGTGAAGCCCGGCCTGGCTCTGGTTGGGGTGGTGGGCCGGTAGCGCGGGGGACGGGGGGTGTGGGTGCAGGCTGGGGGTGGGCAGAGGCCGCGGGTGGGACAGGGGCTCAGGCTGGTGCTGGGGCCGTTGTGGGGGGGCCTGAGAGGGCTCTTGGCCCTGAGCGAGAGGCAGGGCTTCGGGGATCTGAGGCCTGAGGGAAGCCTCGGAGCGTGGGGGCTGGTGGACCGGTGCCTGGGCCAGACGGGACCCGGGGGGAGAGGGCTGGGCCTGGGATGTGGGTAGGGACAGAGGCAGGGGGCAGGCAGCCGCGCGGGGCTGCGGAAGTAGGGGCTGCTTGGGAGCACTGGGCGCGGGGGGAGGCACGAGGGTGTCCCTGCAGCTTTCCAGGCTCTTCTCCTGGCTGCGCTCTAGGCCTGACACCTTGGAGAGGCCCAGGCCGCCACGCTCCTGGCTGTCATTGGTTGAGGCTGCATCGACGCTGAAATCTGGAACTGTGGACAGAGAGATGGAAACACAAAAAGAGAGACTGGTCAGTACTTCAGTCACATACACAGTTCATATTGAATCACACAGGCTGCTCACTCCAACAAATAAGAACTCCAAAAGTGCTTCCAAACACTAGACAAACTCTTCTTATTTCTACAGAACAGTCCATTGATAAAGTCAATTGATAATACCATATACAGGACCTAAACAGAGCCCCTCTACAGTGCTTGTACATGGCAGGTAGGTCCTACTCAGACAGACACTGTGCTGTAGCATCAGCAGTCAGCTCTCTGCATGGTGTATGAGCTGGAGCAGGACCAGGGAGACTCATGGGGGATGACAGTGCATACACAACCAGTAATTAACTTTTCTCTCTGGGCTTCTGGGGACACGCACGCACACACACACACTGGCTAAATCTCTGCAGAGCTGATGATTGGGCTGGTTCCCCAGGGCCGTGGCAGTGAGGCAGGCAGCCCTCTGGAGCGCCATTATAGCAGGCTAAGGCCTCTGAGGTGGCTCTCTCTGTAGTATTACAGCTAGGCTGGTCCCAGGGGCCCCCGGCCTCATAGAGGAATACCCAGAGGCCCCAGGGACCGGCCTAGCAGTAATATGACAGAGAGCCAGCCTACAGAGAGAGCGCAGACAACGCCTGGTCACCTGCCTCCCCGCCTGCCTCTCTCTCAGGCTCCATACAAAGGCCATCCATTAGCAGTAGAATGTTAAACAGGGATTTAAGCACCAAGGCACATGTGACACCATGACATTAGGGGTCAGGCCAGATAATGCCTGACCAGCTGCAGATAGACCAGGGGATCAATATCTATTATCTGCTGTAACAGCTATTGACCACTGCTCCCTGGAGAGATGAGACAGGGCCAGACATCTGTCAGTGGGAGAAAAGAAAAGACACACACTTTGCAGATAAAGTGTATCCGTCTGAACTAGCACACTTTGTAAGATCATTACAACATTTCAACATAGCCTATATCAATTTCACCAACTGTCAGATTTCATTTGGACCCCCTAAGTATTCTGAGCAACAACAAAAAAAAGTTATTTTTGTTTTTGTTTTTTACATGAAAGACTGTAAATACATCAGGAAATCAGCTTCAAGTGATTTTCATTTTGGAAATCTATTCCAAAGTATTCCCACGCATAATAGAGAGATACACTGTATGTGATCGTATACAAATATAAGCAAGGTTTGAAATTATTATGTTTTAGTCAAATGTATTATCTGTTTGGGCTTGCAGTCTACAAATAATTTGTAATTATGTTCCGGCCCCCTGACCATCCGCTCAAGAAAAAAACCGGCCAGCGGCTGAATCTAGTTGATGATCCCTGGGCTTTATAATACCTATTAAATACAATGGGAAGGGAAATCCAGCAGAAAAATCCTCCGCAAAATGTTTGATTCTAAAACGTCAACAAGGCCAGCTTAGCTTTCCATAAAATGTACACAATGTCTGTTTTCTGTAGTTTAATATGGTACTGACTCACACCACTCAGGCTGGCCCTAACTCACACTAACACCAGTCAGTGTCCGTCCATCCTCAGACCAGATCCATGTCATAGTCCACGCCAATCAGCTCCACTCACACACGCCATCACCATTCCTTCTAGATAGAAAACATCCCTGGCTTAACAGATGGACAGATGGAGGGAGAGCTTCCTCCTTTCTTTCCCCCTGAGGTCCCTGGGCTTGTTTTGAGAATGTGCTAATAGGAAACGTTGAAAAGAAGGTGTCTCTTCTCCTCGTAATGAAGACTCCTGGGGCGGGGAGGAGGGGAGGAGGAGGAGATGTGTCCACCTCCTCCCATGAGGGGTAATTTGTCAGGCTCCTTGATCCTTGGAAACAAATCCACCCCCAATGTTGGTTCCTTACAAGAACCAGCCCTGCTGTTTCCCAACATGTCATTATCTTCTGTTTTTATGTAGTAGTGGGGTGGTGGTCCCATGAATGTGCTGGTTTATATCACATTAGAATGGGAAATAAATGAATGAGGCCTGTTGGAGGTTATTTATTTATTTATTACGGTTAGAGGTGGTGGTGATGCCAAGGGCTGGATTTAAGGCTCAGGGGAACTGTGGGGCTTACAGAGTGGGGTCAGCCGGGTGGTGGTTGAGCAGAGAAAAGCAGAAAAGCCCTTCATTATGACGTGGTGTCTGGGGACAGGGGTGAGGGGCTTAAGAGCACCACTCATTATCCAGGAGTGAGCCCCCTCTAACCACTTACAGAACATTAACTACACCCCCACTGCTGCCACAGGGACTACATTGGAAGAGGGGGGTATGGATGTTTAATAAACAAAATAGAGAATGCAATACTAGGAAAAAGGGTGAGTGAGGGGACTAGCATTTCAGCATTATTTTAGCACTGTTTGCAACAGTGTGGTGTAGCCCATTGGGGTTGGACAGAATGAGTCCTATGCCTGGAGACCGTCCTGACAGATTTATAGGGGTACAGACCTCTGGGACATCCCAACACTCTGTCCCTGTCCCCTTCTCCCCGTCTCTCTGTCCCATTCCTCCCCTAAATAGCCCCATCACACATTCTTAACCCACACGTCATCCCTTCACCCACAGGATCCAATGGAGTCAGGGGTTACATCGCTTCAATCACACAAAACCAACAAGCAGCCTAGCTATGAGCTATCTGCCCCAAATGTCCGGATGGACCTCTTCACTAAGTCTGTCTCTCCACTGGCCCGGGGATAGCCTAGTCCCAGATCTGTTTGTGCGGTCTTACCAACTCCTTTGGCGTGACAATGATCATAAGAGTTGACAAGAGAGTACAAACAGATTGGGCATCAGGCTAGCCCGGGGATAGATTTTGGTCTGAGAGACACAGTGAGGGAAGACGATGATGAGAGCTGAAGTGAAGCTAAGAGACTATGTATTCTTATCTAAACTCCATGATGCAAGAGACAGGAGCCTCAGAGGATACCAAACAGTCTAGCCTGCTCAGTGTCAAACTCCCAGCATGCAACAGTCATCAGAGGGTGAAACGCCATGTTAGCAGCAGCAGCCGGTGTGCTCCTACTGAGTATGGCCCTCATGGTTCACAGAGGGCACTAAACATTCTCTAAAACACTTAGGCGTAGGGTTCAAAGACCAGAGATAGCAAGCTAGAGGGAAGGTGATCATTTTCATTTAACTGTGTATATTTCTTTTTCCAATAAAAAACAAGTGACAGCCATCCATAAAGCCAAGAGCTCGGTTGGTTAGAGTAACTAGAGAGTGCTGTGCTGAGAGGTGGAAGAAAACAGGTGCTACTTGCTCGCTAGGGGAAACACTGTTGTATATTCTCTTTTCTCGTCCAGCCACTTTCTAATAGCACTCACAGGTCGGTGGGTAGCGTAATAGAGAGTCTTGCTACGCAGGATGAAAAACGTCGTACTCTGTCGCTAGGAAACGCATCACTCTCGTAGCTGCAATCCCAACTTCTCGAGGATCTGCATCTCGATCCTCTATTCGTCTAGCTCTCTGTCTACTTCAGTCAATCTCGTACTCTACTAGTCGTTCGATCCTCGTCTTCTATTCACTCCTATTCAAATCCTCTACATCTAATCTCTCGTATGCTGCTTCTCACTCATCTACTCTGCATCAACCTTTCAGTCTCTCATCTCATCTAGTAATACACTATACGATCAGGCTCGATCGGTCATCTCTCTCTCGTCCTGCTTTCTCATCCCTACTCTTCTTTCTATCTCTCTCTACTCTATCTCTATCCTCTTCTCTCTCGCCTCTCTATACCTCTGTCCTCTCTCTTCACTCTCCTCTCTCATCTCCTCTCTCTCTCCTCTCCTCTTCTCTCTCTGCATCACTCTCTCTCTCTCTCTCTCTCTCTCTCTCTCTCCCCTCTCTCTCTCACTCCCTCTCTCTCTGTCTCTCTCTCTCTCTCATCCCTCTCTATCTATCTCTCTCTCTCACTCCCTCTCTCTCGGTCTCTCTCTCTCTTTCTATTCCCTATATCTATCTCCTCTCTCTCTGTATATCTTTCCTTTTCTTTCTCTTGGCATCACTAGCAGATTCTGCACCACTCACTCAGTCTGTCAGTAACATTGCTTCAGGGGTAACACATCACTCTGAATCCTGCTTAGAGTTGCAGCCAACCAACACAACGCTCCGCAAGGACTGCACTGCACTTCAGGGATCAGTCACAACCATAAGAAACAGATGAATGCAGTCTAGACGAGATCGTGGCCGTTTGTTCTCTCCACTTCTCGCCTTCCAGCTGGTCCAACAATTATGCACTTAAACAATGGTTGTGTTGTTTCGAGAGACTGCCATTCTTTTTTCCCCGACACCTTCCATTTCCAACCACTCCGCCTATCCCGCTTCCCCCTCCAAAATCAGACAAATAAAACCCAGGAAAGCTGTTTCAAATCAATTAAAGTACACACAGCGCTGAATACCACTGACTACAGCCCGGCCCTCCTCGAAGAGAAAATTCCATTTCGCATTTGTCTTCTGTGTTAACAGTAATTATAATCAGAGACCCCCATGCCGAGGGGTCTGGGGAGATCTTTAACTACTCTGTGTTTTCAGAGGCACTCTGAATAATTTATTCTACTGCAGAAACACTATTCTATAAACTTACGAAATATATGACTTTTCTACGCACTTCTCAGTAGTTGGTATCAGTGGCATGTATTCATGGCTGCCAAGGGAAGCCAGGCTTCCCCCAAAAAAGTACCAATAATTGTTAATTTATTTTTATAATGTATCTTTAGTCTCTCTGTGTTTCTGAAATGTCCTTCAATTCGCAAGAGGCTGAATGTATCTCACCAGAGAAAATATCAGAACGAACGAAACAGCGCCCCTCTGTCTCAGTATGTGTAGCCCATCTATCTGATGCTGTCTGGTCAAAAAGAGTATGACATTGTTGCCGCCCGTAGCATTGAATGCAATGGAAGCAAGTGAGCATTTGGCCTCCCTTGATTAAAACATTCTAAAATAATAGCCAATCAGCGTTGAGCTAAACTGAGTGAGCTCAGTTGTGAATGGACCTGGCGCACCCAAAAAAAGCCAGTTTGGATTTGGATTCACACCAATCACATCACATCAGAAGCCATACGTCATTGACAGAAAACTTGAATTGTTGCATCTCGTTGTGTCGTTGTCCTCCGGTGGCTAGCTAGAGTAGCTATCTCAATCAAATTTCAATCAGAATTCAATTAAATGTATTTATAAAGCCTTTTTTACATCAGCAGTCACAAAGTGCTATACAGAAACCCAGCCTAAAACCCCAAACAGCAAGCAATGCAGACATAGAAGCACGGTGGCTAGGAAAAACTCCCTAGGAAGGCAGGAACCTAGGAAGAAACCTGGAGAGGAACCAGGTTCTGAGGGGTGGCCAGTCCTCTTCTGGCTGTGCCGGGTGGAGATTATAAGAGTACATGGCCATTAGCTAAAATCGTCCCTTTCCTAAATTAGCCATGGATGGAGATAGGGATTTGGACTTGTGGTTTTACTTAATTCTCCGTACTGGCCAATGATTATAACGGCGATTCTGATCCAACCATAAATGTATATATTGTGCCCCTGGCCTGAGAGGATGGAAGTTCAACATGTAGCTAGATGTAGTAGGCTAATGTTAACTAGCTGGCCTGGCACATTTTTGTCCAAGAAAGGAAGGTAGGCTAGCGAGCAAGATTTTTTGGCAGGTAGCCTAGGACAACAAAAACTAAAAGCGTGTACTGTATGACAGAGTCACAGACCGTTTAGGCAACATGAAAGAGGAGGATGGCATTGGCGTTTCTCTACAAGTAGGGTGAGTCAACATGTTTTTTCTACTTGCACGCACACACACACACACACACAGAAATCCGTACCATGGACAGACATATTTAGCTTACGTTGATTGGACTAAATAGTTTTTGGTATCTTTTAGTTGTCACTGTTTTAGACTAAGCATAGGTGATTAGATGATGTTGAAATGGTGCTGGAATAATGGAGGCAGCGTATGTTTTCTTTGCGACTTGAGGTAACTCTCTGTGGTTCTAAATCAATAGTTGTTTAGTAGTCCGAAAATGCCTTAGACCTATATATCATGGTTTCAAGGCATATGAACTAACAGGTTATAGAGCAAACAACGCAATTATCACAAGAAATAGGTTGTAATATGGAATTTGTTCCTGGATTGGCATCCCCAGTGATTTTACCCACACACCGCTACAGGTTGGTACTCAGAGTTACCTTATGCAGGCGTGTAAGGGGCTTTGAAGGCGTGGTTCGCTTGCGCTGGCTGAATACATTTAATTCAACCACTGGAAAACTCTCTCATTTGCTGGCCAACAGATTTTCTCGTCGAGTTTTCATTCAATAGAGTTTATTACATTTATCTTAATCATACATTAATATTTTCAACAGTGGGCTGGCATCGCTACACGTGGTCTGCGGTTGTGAGGCCGGTTGGACGTATTGCCAAATTCTCTAAAACAACGTTGGAGGCAGCTAATGGTAGAGAAACAAACATTACATTCTCTGGCAACAGCTCTGGTGGACATTCATGCAGCCAGCATGCCAATTGCGCGCTCCCTCAAATCTTTTATTTCAGCTCATGAAAAAATGGGACCAACACTTTATATGTTGCATTTATATTTTTGTTCAGTATACTGTATATACTGTATACTATTATTATAATTTTTTTGCTAGGTAGCGTTAGCTAGCGCTAGTCGTCTGTACCTGCGCCAAAACTTTTAAAATAGTGAGCCAACATTTTTTCAGCACTTTATTTTCATGACTGATCAAAACTAATTTTCTCATGATCCCTCGTCTCTCTGCAGCAGAAATATAGTGAGCAATATGTTTGAAACATCAAATCGCAACAACAACAAAAAAAAAATCGCAGTATCGAATCGCAATACATATAGAATCGTGAGAATCGCAATACATATCGTATAAGTATCGTGATAATATCGTATCGTGAGGTCCCTGGCAATTCCCAGCCCTACTACACTTTCACTGCTGCTTTAATGTCAGACAGATCACTCAAATGTTTACAAGGCCAACCACTGTAAGCCAAACAACTAGTAGCTTGTACTTGTAATATCAACTTCCTAAAGTGTCTATGTCAGTAACCTTATCAGAAGGCAGTTGGTTGGCCTCATCTGGCGGTCTGTGCCAAAGCAGGCAGCCAGAGAATCCTGCAGACAGCATCATCTCTTCAGGTTTAAAGACTTTAACAGCATTAGAGGGGGTGACAGCGGTAACATCATGCCTCTGAATCCTTATCCACGTCTCTAGAGTGTCCCGGAGCACCCACAGCTATGTGCACACTTCACCCAGGCATGCATGTCCTACATGCCCAGGACAAGGGGCCTCTGCTGGGCCTGACAGTGATGGAGGGTCCCCTGGCTGGCCCCTGCTGGCCCGGCTGTGCTCCATCATGTCAGCAGGGCTCTAAATGCAGGGCCAGAGGGGTGTGGGTTACACCCTACTGGCGGCCCAAAGTTGTTAACTGCGGACGAATGGAAGCTAAACAGAAATAAAGCCGTGGGTAAGAGAGAGCACAGGATAGCTATTCTGGATATGCGTCTTGGGAAGAGTGTGACACATGTTGTGTTTCAGTGTGAATACCACACAGATACATGTATTCCTCGGTAGTAAGGCACACCCCAGCATTAACGACCTGAGATGATGATCAGGCAAAGGGCAAGATATGGAAAGTGGAAAAGCCATAAAAGCTGAAACTGTAGCTCATGTAATCCATCAATGTCATAAATTAACAAATTCATGTAATGGACATGGATGTAATGTAAGAGGATATTCCTTGATGTATGTATTAGTGATAACGTGTGTGTGTAGTATTAGCGCTGTGCAAGTGTGTGTGTGTGTGTGTGTGTGTGTGTGTGTGTGTTTGTGTGTACTTGTAATATTAACTTACTGAAGAGTCTATGTCAGTAACCTTATCAGAAGGCAGTTGGTTGAAAGTATCATCCCCTCAGGTTTAAAGACTTTAAGAGCATTAGAGGGGGTGACAGCGGTAACACCAGGCCTGTGATGTGCTTGAATGTGTGTGTGTGTTGTTGACTGAAGGAGGAAGTTAACTCCCTTGCCGAGAAAGTGAGGCTCTCCTCTTATCTCCTCTGCTCTCAGACTGATGGATATAGCTGTCATTCCCTGGGAGTGAAAAGGCAGCAGCAATCTAGTGTAATTGGGCCTATTAACCCACTGACTGTTGTTCTAAGCTCTTGTGACAGATGCATGGTCATGTGAGAGACCTAGTGGCCTGAGGGGCTCAGAGGACAGACACTCACACTGCCAGAGAGAGAGGGAGGAAGGGAGGTAAAGATTGAGCACCGACAGACAAACCAACACTGAGAGATCCAGAGAAGGGAACGCTCACTAACCCACCTTGCCTAATAGTTTATATTCTTCCATTCACATGTATAATCTCTTGACACAAACGATCAATCTCAGTCTTCATTATCGTAATGCAGCCTTTACCATTACCAGTCCTTCTAAGTCTCAGCCAACCACAGCTCAGTTGTGATTACTCCAACTCATAACGGCTCTTTCTGATGGCTGCCTGCCTGTCCACTTTTCACTCCAGCAGCATGTGAGATATGTGCTGGCTCCACTGTTGGCCACCTTAACACCGCAGGCCTGAGTAAGCCCTCTCCCCCATCCTCCTAGGGGTAAGGACGGAGGGGTGCAGGGGTGAAGTAGGAAGATGCTGGGCTCGGTGGTAGTAGTGGGTAACTGGTTTCCAGGCCCGGTGGTGAGGACAGTGTTCAACCTTTAGAGAACAAATCTTTATATATCCCATTGGGGGTGAGGTCAGGCTCTGGGGCTGGGAGGGTAACTGGAGAGGGCTGCCAGCCTGCCACAGGGCCCTGATGATGGGCACACTGGCACAGGTGGTGGTGCCCACAGGGCATACTGCGACTGCTCTCCTCTCGCTAGGGGGCACTGGGCTGGGGGTCTTCCCTAAGAGGGGGTAGAGCCAGAGGGGGTTGGTTGTTCTCACACATAGAAATAGGATGTTAAAACATTGACTTGAATGGGAATGTCTCGGTCTAGTAATTATATTTCTATGTTCTCACACAGCATGGCCAGGCTGACAGATCTATACATCTACAACCTGCTGTGAAATAATACCAGATCACCGCCACCGTCACACAAAGTGGATTACAGTGCTACTTACTGGCTGTCACAGTTGAGTAAAACTACACCCCAACACAGAGCAGCTGTGGAACCAAAGAGAGTATTGGACCTGAAAGCAAGGCAGCTGAGATGTCTCCTTTCAGGCCCTGATATCTTTGCTAGTGAAGAGTGAGAGATGGTAGGTGGCCCTATCCCTCTCTTTCTCTCTCTGTAAACCTTGTATCTCTCCTGGGAGAGAGGAGTTGCTGAGAGAGAGGCCCTCACCACCACAGATCAGTCCAGTCCTGTCAGTCAGCGGTGGGCTTTCCCTCTCTAGCCACCCGTGATGCTTCTGTCACTCCTCAGCCCATTCACAGCCTGGGCCCCAGAGACAGACACCCACACTGAGACAGGACAATACACCTCCATTACCACAAAGCAGTCTGAGGGTTCTCCTCCCGTTACAGGGATGTCCTTTCTTATCATTCTCACCATTAGTGTAATTTCAGAATCTGCTGGTTGACTTTTACCACAGCTGCTTTTTCAATGCCTCAAACATGAGCAGTGAGGTGGTCTAGAAGTCTGATTAGATACTAGTCATAACACAGCATGTCATTGTACTGTCAGGTGGTGTGTACAGCGCATTCGGAAAGTATTCAGACCCTTGACCTTTTCCACATTTTAGCATCTATTCTAAAATAGATTAAATAATTTTTTCGCCTCAATCTAAACACAATACCCCATAATGACAAAGCAAATACAGGTTGTTATACATTTTTGCAAATGTATACACAAAAGAAAACTGAAATATTACATTTACATAAGTATTCAGACCCTTTACTCAGTACTTTGTTGAAGCACCTTTGGCAGCGATTACAGCCTTGTGTCATCTTGGGTATGACGCTACAAGCTTGGCACACCTGTATTTGGGGAGTTTCTCCCATTCTTCTCTGCAGATCCTCTCAAGCTCTGTCCGATCGCTGCAAAGCTATTTTCAGGTCTCTCCAGAGATGTTCGATCGGGTTCAAGTCCGGGCTCTGTCTGGGCCACTCAAGGACATTCAGAGACTTGTCCCGAAACCACTCCTGCGTTGTCTTGGCTATGTGCTTAGGGTCGTTGTCCTGTTGGAAGGTGAACCATAGCCCCAGTCTGAGGTCCTGAGTGCTCTGGAGCAGGTTTTCATCAAGGATCTCTCTGTACTTTGCTCCGTTCATCTTTCCCTCGATTCTGACTAGTCTCCCAGTTCCTGCCGCTAAAAAACATCCCCACAGTATGATTCTGCCACCACCATGCTTCACCGTAGGGATGGTGCCAGGTTTCCTCCAGAAGTGACGCTTGGCATTCAGGCCAAAGAGTTCAATCTTGGTTCTCATGGTAGGAGTCCTTTAGGTGCCTTTTGGCAAACTCCAAGCAGGCTGTCATGTGCCTTTTACTGAGGAGTGGCTTCCGTCTGGCCAATCTACCATAAAGGCTTGACTGGTGGAGTGCTGCAGAGGTGGTTGTCCTTCTGGAAGGTTCTCCCATCTCCACAGAGGAACTCTGGAGCTCTGTCAGAGTGACCATCAGGTTCTTGGTTACCTCCCTGACCAAGGCCCTTCTCCCCCGATTGCTCAGTTTGACCGAGCGGCCAGCTCTAGGAAGAGTCTTGATTGAGGCCACTGTGTTCTTGGGGACCTTCAATGCTGCAGACATTTTTTGGTACCCTTCCCCAGATCTGTGCCAATCCTGTCTCGGAGCTCTACGGACAATTCCTTCAACCTCATGGCTTGGTTTTTGCTCTGACATGCACTGTCAACTGTGGGACCTTATATAGACAGGTGCGTTTTTCCAAATCATGTCCAATCAATTGAATTTACCACAGGTGGATTCCAATCAAAATGTAGAAACATCTCAAGGATGATAAATGGAAACAAGATGCACCTGAGCTCAATTACGAGTCTCATAGCAAAGGGTCTGAATACTTATGTAAATAAGGTATTTCTGTTTTTGATCTTTGTAAAAAATGTGAAAAACCTGTTTTCGCTTTGCCATTATGGGGTATTGTGTATAGATTGCTGCAATAAAAAAAATGGTTTAATCCATTTTAGAATAAGGCTGTAAGGTAACAAAATGTGGAAAAAGTCAAGGGGTCTGAATACTTTCCGAATGCACTGTCCATTCAAAGACATACACATGAAAAAGGCTTCTGAGTTTTAACTTGCAACATGTACTCTCTGTAGTGTCTGTCGACACTAAATAGATACAGCTCTGGATTTCTCCTAACAACACAGTATCTCTCTCTCACACACACACACACACACACACACTCTCACACACACACAGAAACCCTACCGGTCTACAGGTCCAACTGCCACCTCAGTCGTGTTCTTTGTCCTGCCATATTTCCTCTCTATGAGGCTCTATTCTCTTATTCACTGCAGACAAACAGACAGAGGCTCCTCCAGCTCCACAGTCCAAATGGGGTCCCAGCAGCCTGTCAGCTTAGACCCAGCAGGGCAGATCGTACCACACAGACACAGCCACGGGGGTGACCCACCCAGCCCGGCAGATCGTACCACACAGACACAGCCACGGGGGTGACTGCCGTGTGCAGGGCTACTCTAGCGGGGCAGACGGCTTCCTCTGTCTTTCTCTCTCTCTCCAGCAGGCAGCACAGAGGGGCGTTGAAGCTTGGCTCGCCTGTGGTGTCGAGTAACAATCCATCTAGTGTCCCCCCCCCCTCCTCTCTCTACTCTTCCCTCCAACCCCCTCTCTCTCGCTCTGTGTCTTTAGCCAGAGGGGTGTGTGAGATTAATTGACTGGCTGCAATTATGTGAGTGACGGCTCTAGTCGACACATTGACACCACCTGATTTCAATGGGAGGGAGAGGGAAAGAGAAGACATGCCCCAAGAGAGCCATCAGTTTAGCCCTCTCTTTTAAAAATGGGGGAAGGAAGGGGCCAACAGTGGCAAAAAAACTGCTTCTATATCCTCAATGATTATGACTGGGGCTAAATCTGTCTTACACAAAATGTTATGCATCATACAACATATTATGCAACTCCTTTTCATAAGAAAACTATTGTTGGGAGAAAAAACTATTGGTGTGTGTGTATGTGTGTGTAAAATGCTCTCTCATTACCCCGTGCTCGGGTTTCAGAGCGGCTGGATTACCAGAACACCCAGGGTGGAAGAGGGCGAGCACACAAACCCTGGGCTGTTAATGGTTGCCCCCCTCCCCTCTCCCTCCCTGCTTCCCAGAAAACCGCCCCTCCCCCATGCATGGCCTGCTGATGTGGCTGTAAACCTATCTACGTATCTATCTATCCACCAGCAGCACCCAGGGAGGGAGGGGAGCCAAGGAATTGGGCCACCCCAACCCCGTTCTCTCTCTCTAACCCCCCCAGAGCCCTACCACAACCATTTCCTCTTTAAAAAATAACACCGCAAATTAGCAGCTGGATGGCGGTGGGTGGGTGGGTTGTGTCAGTGGGATTTGATGCTGATGAGCTCTGGCTGTGTGATTGCTGCCTTCTGAGGCTAGAATGTCAGGGGGTTAGAGGAGGGGAGCAGAGAGGCGGTTAGATCTGAACTATTTATTTGAACTGAGCTGAGCGGTCCAAACAGAGCTACCTCGCTCCTCTCTCAACAAGCCCCTCGGCTTGGGGGGGTAGCCCAATATCCCCCCTCGCCGGGCCCCTGGGTAGGGTTATGTTACGGTGGACCGGAGGGAGGGGGAACAATGCGGCCTCTGTTGCCCGGGCTTCCTCCTCAATCCTCAGAGGGAGGTGTGGGGTTCCAAACGGCCCCGCCAGGCGGGCAGGTGGTGTCAGGGCTGGCCGGGGGATTCATACATCATAACACAGCATGGCAGAGAGAGAAAGGGGCTTCTGGGAAGGGCTTCCGCCTCGCTCTCCTCGACTTCACCTCCACAGCCCAAGAGAAGCCCCAAAGAAGTCTCAACGCAGCCCCACTAAGAGCTAAAACAGACCAGGGTCTGACACTGCTGCAACGGCCCGTTGGCTTTCCCTTTGAAAAAGCCTGAAAAAGAGGCCCTTCTAAGATGTCGGCGGTGTTTACACAAAAACTTGACACATGGAATAAAGCGGGAACTCTAAAACCCTGAAATCAAATAGCTCCCGCTAGGAGCGGACTAAGCAGAGCGGAGCGGCGTAATCTTTAACAGATGGCAACAATCCGGGGGATGTTGATTTGCTTCAGAAGATATAAAATCCTGGCCAGAGACTGAGAACCAATGGGCCTGCATGGTAATAAAATTGAACATTTCACAGTTCATTAGACCTTGCTTATATCAAATACACATGCTAAACTTTATTTTCCAATATATATAACTAACTTTACACACACACACACACACACACACACACACACACTTGCATAAACCACCACAAATTAAGCATGTCCTCTATGCCCTCTCTGGAAACACATGTAGGCCTATCTGGGTCAGGTTTGAGCTGCTAACTAACAGCACAGAGGTGGAGGTCGTGGCTGCTGAGATAACACTGTAGTCAGGTCTAATCCGCCTGACCCTCGGGCCCTTGGTTTGAATCCTGCATATTTATGAGGAGAGAAAAGAGAGAGAGAGGGGAAAAAATATAACTTCTTCTCTTGGGGGAGCAATTAAAGCAATGCTTTCATCAACCCGGCCAGATCCCCCCCTCACCCTCTCTCTCCATCTCTCCCACCAGCCTGGGCACCAGCTGTGTGTGTCTCCAACTTTATCCTCCGTCTCCAGAGTTCAGTGTTTACTGTTTAAGCCCCCCTTAACCTGTAACCCTGCACGTCCTCTGGGACCACAGGGGTGGAGAGGAGAGGGACGGAGATGGGGTATCCCGCCCATGTGTTGTGCTTCCCCCTCAGACTGTTCACAGCGGGTCCCTGTCCCCCTACAGAAACACAACCTTCCATCTCTGAACCCAGATGGCTGTGTGTAACGACAACATTGCCTGGGTTTCACTTCCTCTAGGCTGATGGATCCAAGTAAACTGGAGATCCCATATCTCAACCAGGGTTATACAGGGACTATGGGGATTGCCATCAGGTTTAATGCACTTCACACAGGAAACTGCTTCCATATGAAGGAAAATCCTGCTGCCCAGACACACCACAAACCCAAAATGGTGTCTCCGTTTCTCTAAACTCCACACAGCCTCCCTATGGGGCTTGCAGTACAGTACAGCACTGGTAGGCTACAGACTTACAGCGGGCCTACCCTTCCCAGATCACACTCATCCATAGAACAGCTCCAATCCTGCTTCACACAACCTAGAGCACTGCCATTGGTACTGCTGCTGTCCTCAGGGTGAACCTCTTGACAATAAAACAGTAATCTAACAGTAATCACAACTAGGGAATCTAATCCTGCGTGTTAATCCCATAAAGTCGGAGGATTTCAGTCCGCCTGGCTGAATACACATTTCTTTGGAGCTCCATGTACCCTCCAGTCATAACACGTATCCACATATGCATTAGACTGATATCAAATAGCAGTGGT